GGTTTACAGGTCACCCCTTCTTCCCCCTGACCGTTTAGCCTGTGAAGGGCCTAGGGAGGAACACCCCAATTCCGTGGCTGCTGCATTTGGTGACGGCTCTGCCTCACTAAGGAGCATGGGGGGAGTGGGGGGAAGGCGGTCTGGATGCCCCCCTGCTGCCACCACTGCAGCAGCCGAGGGGCCCCGCTCTCCCCCACTTGCGGGTTTTGGCAAGAATCCCTGGTTAGCGACACGGGGCCGAGCGGCTGGGCGCAGGGGGCCCTGCTGGGGAAGGAGCCCCTCCCGGGGCACACCTGCATGCCACCTGGACGGAGCGGTCAACGTCCACGACACTTTTGTGGCGGAGGGCTCCGCGGACAGGGGTCCAGACCCGCAAGGGTCCCCAAGGAGGAGGCCGGTTCCTGGGCCCGCACCTGCTTTCAGTCTGGCCCGGCGTGGAGCAGACAAGGGCGGGTTTCGGCCGACAGTCCGGTGCAGGCAATCGGGATCGTGATTTCAGGATTTCGAGAAAAGGCCAGGACAGTAATGAGTGAGTGAACACGGTGCACAGCTAGGGAGCCACATTTCTAAGGTTAAGCAACTGAGGTTTTCCTAGGCCCCTTTCAAGACCAGCTGACAAATAAACACGTCCGGCCGGAAAATCCTCACCTCCCGCCTCAGATAACTGACAGTATAAGGGCTAATCAGTATCTAGAAACCTCGTTTTAAAACCCCAAAGTTCATCTGGAAATTGTCTCTCTCTGTATGTCGTCTGCCTTTAGAGGCTGCGAGAGGCAAAAACCCTATAAAAAATCCCAGTTGTGGAGACAGGCGTTCGTTTAATAATTGAGACTTAAATCCACCCACTCTGCGGCTGCAAGAAGTGAGAGAGCTGTGTCCACTAACGCGTTTTCTCCCAGTATTCCCGAGACGGTCCCTGCATCCCCTATACAGTTATAAGCACGAATCGTTTTACATCAACTCCTATCGTATAATCACAAAATACAAAGCCATTAAAAAATTCCCCTTTTCTTTCCTGACTGGGAATTTCTTCAAACCCCCAGCAGTGAATTGAGCCAAGACAGTTTGTTGTTCCAGCTGTCGGGGGAGGGCCGAGCTGGGAGGGGGTGGGGGCTCCGTAGCAGGGCCCCCCTGTCCCCCTTCTGACCTTGCTCCGGCCCCAGGAACGATTTCATCATGCCCCCATCCGCTCGGAGGAGGCAGCAACCAATGGTCAGCATTTCGGGCTCACCCACAACTCCACTTGGGGAACCGGGGGGCTTCCCTTTTCTCTTCCTGCCCGGAGAGGGAATGAAGCTCAGGCATCACCCGGGCTACACGTCCCTGCCTCACGTCAGCGGCCTGGCTAAAACGGCCAGGTGTCCTGGGGCTGCATCTGTCATTCCCAGTTCCACAGGCCACTTCCCCACTCGCAACGGACGGCAGCTGCCCCGTCTGCACACCGAGGGCACGGGACTTGGTGCCATCCAGGATCTCTGCCGATTCTCCCATTCGTTGGATCCCTGAACGCGTCTCCGGCAGATGGGGTCAAGGAGGCCTGAACCTTCTCTCGTTCCTGGGGAGCAGCCGGGTCGCCTCTGTGGAACTGGCGTATGCACGAGCCTGGGGGTGCTTCTGTGACTCCCATGTCGGCACAATCACTAGCGAGAAGATTCTGACGCAGCCGGCCGTGCAGGGGTGGAAGCGACGTGAATCTTGAGTCCTACCTGCTGCAGGTCCCAGGGACCCATTCCAGGCCGCACGCAAGCCCGGCCTGTCCAGAGCCACGCGGGAAGGGATGAGGACCACCGGGATGGCAGCTCGTTCTGTCCCTCACACCCTCCGGTTTCTGCAGGATGGGACACTGCCCTGCCACCAGCCGCCACACGTCAACAAGCGGAGAAGCTGTCTCAGGGCTAGCGGATTCTCCAGCCCTTATCTCACAGTCTCATGTCTTCCCTTTGGTTTCTGTTTTCAGGTCCTGCAATCTCAGGTCTCCTGGCTTGGGAGTCCAGAACAGGGAAGGCAAGTAAGTGCCTGTGGGGTGTTCTGTTGGCAGAACGAAATTTCAAGACCGCAGAGATGGACGGCTTGTTAATAATTTTAAGCGCCAGGGAGAAAAATCATACTGGCAACTAATATAGAAAAAGAAGAATCTTGTG